AAAAATAAATGGATAAAAGTTACAGTGCAGTCTAAGATATGAATAGTTCAATTAAAAGCAGTGGCAAAAAGAAAAGTCTTTAGTCTGGATTTAAAAGTAGTCAGAGTTGCAGCGGACCTGCAGGTTTCTGGGAGTTTGTTCCAGATATTTGGAGCATAATAACTAAATGCTGCTTTTTCATGTTTAGTTCTGACTCTGGGGACAGAAAGCTGACCAGTCCCTGAAGAGATTGTTCTCTTTAAAGATACAACAATGTGTTTAAGTCTGATGGCAGCTGTTAGAGCACATCTCTTACTCCTTTTTTTCTTCTTTTTTTAAATCAGTACAAAAAAAACATTGCCCTGTCCTGTATTTGTTATATGAGAATGGGAAGGCTTCCAGTGACCTACTCAGATAAGACCTTGTCTGCAGTGAGAGATAATCTGGCATCTGCCCATAACCTGAAGATTATTCTCCTCATCAGGACCGGTGCAGAGCCGCTGCCAATCCATCTGCTCCTTAATCCATACCGAATACAGCCAAGCCATCCAGAGATAATCAGACTATTCAGTGTAAAAACTGGTATTTCAATTAAAAAAATATAATATTATACAAAATATATATATTTCAACCACTTTTGGTACAAACAGCCCAATTTGTATAGTAGAATAAAGTATGGGTTTCAACTGCCATGATGGAAAGCTTAAGGCTAGACCATGTATTTTTATGATTATGAAATACAAGCATACCAGCGACACACATAACTTCACTTCTTTGGATAGAGAAAATAACTTCAATTTTATGCAATTAAGTGTATTGTTTCTTTACAATCTCTCCGCCCAGGTGTATCCTACCATTTTTATTTTTATTTTGAAAGTTCGTACCGGAAATGAATGCCTCTTCATCGTGTTATCGCTGTTCCGCGGGCTCTCTGCCTTCAGCTCAGCCTCCTCGTTGGACCAGTGCGTGAAAGTGGACGTGCTCACTACTGTTTACACACAGTTTTTCCACAGAAGATGTGAATTGGATAGATTTTTGTACAGGAAAGTTTGGATCCACGCTGTTGATGCTTCTTCGTTTCTTCTGTGCGACATCCTGATGCAGAGTGGAGAGCATTTCATTGGGAATAAAACTTGGGTTGTGCGCTGGCATGATGGCACGGCAGGTGTCTCTGCGCTCGGATAGAGGCCGTGCCTTCCTGTCATGGTGTCAATGCCCGCGGTGAGTTCCCCGAAGCACAATGGAGGAAGCAAAGAGACTTTTCTTCTGTCTTCTCTTCGCGCTGCAGCTCTGTCTGAGCTCCCCTCAAGTCCTCAGAATAGGTAAGAGCAACAGCTGTTTACGCACGGTGTGGATGAGTTGAACCAAGAGTACTGTAGGTATTTGAGTTTATTGTTTGTGTCGGATAGGATCACATCTTATTTCATCTCTGTATTTAATTCAGCAATGTGAACTTTTTTATCCCCTCATCCATTACATTACGCATGAATTTAATTATAAGCTTACTTGTTGTTCTTATTCTCTGCGTTATTCTGTCATTGGTGATGTGTCACAACAGGGAAAAATGTCACCTGAATCAAAGGACAAAACAGACTTTGTCAACTTCCCTCCCTGCTGGTTAATCGGAGATCAAATATATTCCATTCGTTAATGAGTCCGCACATTCAATTACTGTGCGCATTGCAAAGGTCGTTGCAAGAGTCTGAAATACATTTTTTATCTCAGCTGAAACTTGTGGGGGATCTACCTGAGCTGCATACGTTTAACTCACATTTAAATATTTATCATTCTGGGAGTTTTGAGTCTCGCTGGTGATCATAATTTGATCAAAATGTCTTCAAAATGCCATTGATAAAGGGACATAAATAGTTCAATTCTTGCCATCAGAGGGTCTATTTGAGGCTTGTGCAATACATTCAAATTATCTAATTTAAATGTTAATCTGATTTTAAACTTCATTATAGAGGACTACACACACACACACACACACACACACACATCACAGACAGACAGACAGACAGACAGACAGACAGACAGACAGAAAGAGTCGAAAGTGATAGATTATTGATTCCTCAAGCAGCTGATTCACAAACAGCAGAGATCTATCCATCAGTGAGATTGGTGTAATGTAGGAAGTCAGGGCGATGTAATCATCCTCAGTCCTGTGTGTAGTGGATTTAAGAGGAGTGGGAGGACTCCTCCAAGGCTTGATTAGGCAGGAGGAGGCTGTGGGCTGTGTTCATTACCCAAGCCTCTCCTTTTTAGGCTTTGAATCAAACCTGAGTCAAACGGTAATATGTGAACATAATTGACTGAATTATTTTTAGAATTGGGATCACTGCCACTTGTTCCTAACTTGAAGAGGTACAGGCTAAGAGGATCTATGCAGTAGTAATCCTGGATTGGATAGGAACAGAGAAAGGATATATTAGATATATGTCCAAATCCTTATCCATCTTGTTTTTTTACACTACAAATCATGATTTTGCATTTCTATTTTAATATTTGTTGTATTTAACAACACAATAAGACATCTGTTAATAACGAAATACATACATTTAGCCATGATATTCCAAAATAATAATAATTTGAGCTTTTTAGGTGAAAGTTTCCTTTGTTGGTTATGCCTTGTGACAAAATGGCTTTCATACTTTGCTTGGATAATTAGGGGGAAAACTGTGTATGGGTGGGAGTTCTGATAATTGCAGAGCATTTTCATACATGGTTTAAAAAATAAATAACAATGATAACCTTGAGAGCTACTCTTTGTTCTTCTTGGAAAAATCCATCTTTGAATATGCAGATGTTTCAAACGTTTAATTGCAGGACAAGAGATGTTGCTTACTTGCACTAAGTCATATTTTATAGTGTTTGTGCACTGATTTATCTATAAACATCATTCTTGTGTGAGTTGTGTATCGGAACTCAAATGACTTCCGAGTCATGGCTGTAATGTCAAATGGTAATTTAAGAACAGCTCAGAGGGACGTTTCCCCTTCAGCAGATTCATGTTAAAACAGCCTTTTAGTGTCAAACTCTGCACAATGCATCATGTTGAACAGTGAAGGTCAATGGAGTTCTGAGTAGTAGTACCCAAAACTAATTTCTGAGTTGAGGGTGACTTTAAATTGCTGGCCAAAAGGAAAAAGATTACATTGAATTTCAGAGGAAAGAGATCAGTAAAATGGTTCTCACTCTGTCAGCATAATATCAATATACTTATCACTGACCCAGAAAGTATGTTTGTTTGTTCTTACGGAAAATGCATGACATACGGAAATGTCTGTAAAGATCACCCACAATTTGACCAAGTCATGTTTAAGCAAGATGAAAAATAAACATGTCTTTACTTTTTTTGTGCACACTAGTCAATTTTGAGCTTTTTTTCCTTACCAAAAATTATGTTTCGCCTTTTCTGTATTGCAATGTCTTTGAAGCTTTCGGTTGCACATATTGGATATATCTGTGATAAGCCTGGATCATATGATATTCTAGACAAATGTTTTTTTACCAGCCAGTTTATCTTGATTCAAGATTCAAGGCTTTTATTGTCATTCGTACATAGCTACAGTGTAGTTATGTCGATGAAAATGTGTAAGTATACAATCAAATAGAATAGAGTAGTGCCTTAAGAGTCTATATACAAGTGATACATAATCTCTAAGTTGCAAACAGGTGAATGTTTAGCATCTTGATGTATATATATGTATTGGTTCTCTTTTCTAGCATGGGCAGCATTTGTTCATTTGATCTGCACATGCAGAGGGTTTCTCGTCTGGAGTTTAGCTCTGGGTCACACATTAATATTCAGGACCATTCAAGAGCAATAAGTTCAGCTTTGATGGTTCAGCTCTCCTCTCAGATTCACTTGAACAACACAGTCCCCGAAACTCTCCCCCTAAAGATTTAAATACACAGACACTATCAGTGACTGTGTGTGTGTGTGTGTGTGTGTGTGTGTGTGTGTGTGTGTGTGTGTGTGTGTGTGTGTGTGTGTACATACTGACCCAGATTGATGTATTTCTCTCAGGCACACACACACACACACACACACACACACACACACACACACACACACACACACACACACACACACANTTATGTTGGTCAATAATTGATATCACGATTATTAAAAACGATTATCCATTTACTTTGAAAACATCCATTTATTGAAAAAAAAAAATGTGAATAGTATGTTTTTAACAATTGATTACCCTTAACTTTAAGTATAATTCAACTGAAAAACCAATACAAAAATAATAATAAAAAAAAACAAAAAACGTTTTATTTCGATTATGTTTTTTTTATTTTTATTGAGCAGCCCTAGTACAATAGAAGAAGGTTAAGGAGGTGCTACTTGTGAAGGATCTTTTAAAGAGCACTCTAGCTTGGACTAAAAGCCACTGATGTGAGCTGCTGTGAAGACAGACAGAACTGGATCAGAGGTGACGGCGTTGTGGGAGCATTTCATGATTCTGACGGTAGAAAGACACCGAGCGCAGAGAGAGGTGACGAGTACAGAGACCCCTTCTATTGTCAGAGTACGAGCACATCAACAGCGCAGGTCGACCTCTGCCTACAAAACGAGTGACTTCATCAAGCTGAAGGCACATCTGGCTTAAATCCCTAATGTGGAAAGTTGCACGTGATCATCTTGAACCTGTTTGTGTTTCAGTTTGTGGTGTTGTTTTGTGAAATCGGGGCAAAGCACATTCCTGTCCAGTAGCCTTCAGTAAACCAGTGCGCTGAGAGACGCTGTGTATCTCCCCGCCGTTCCCTCCCCTGCCTCGCTCTCTCAGACCTCTCCTGAGGGTTTGTAAGGAAAAATAAATATTTTTAGACTGAGCTGCTGTCACTTAGCTTTTTTTTTTTTCATTCTTCATAAACCCCAAACCATGGGAAACACATATTCACCTCCCCCTTTCTCACTGTTCAGGCAATTGCCTTGCCTCTGGCTTCCTACTGCCACCCATCAAAAAAAAAAAGGGAAAAAAAAAGCTGCCCCCAGGGAGAGTGTCGCCATAGCAACTGCCTTCACCAGAGCAACTCCTCAAAGCATCTATCTGAGGTACATGTTGCAGCCCTCGGTTTCCAGCGACAGAATAACCTGAGAGTTTATGTTTCGGGGAAGAAAGGAGACTGGATATCTTCCAGCGCCGGGACCCAGAGAAGAAGGTGAAACGAAATAAAGCCCCAGATGTCCAGCCGCTGATCAGCTTCAGAGGAGAAGACTCAAACTGTGCAGCTCGCATTCAGGCTTCCCTGTTTCGTGCGATAAGATGACAGAAAGTTTACATGCTAAGCCTCGATGATTTGGCGGATACAATATGACAGCTGGCACAAGAAAATTGGATTGTTCCTCTTAAGAGAGAGAGGAACGGAGAGCACTGGGCCTCAGTTTATGGCACAACAAGCAGACAGTGCTCGCTCTGGCACAGACACAAATCTGTAAACATTGCTGCACAAACATTTAGATGTTCTAACTGAACATAGCCAAATGACTGTCCCCTCTCTGGAGCATATGGCCTCTCACACTGCCGTGTCAAAGACCAAATCTCATATCCTCGCTCACCAGGGACCCTCTCCTAATCCACGCAGTCTGTTGTTCAGTTTCCATGCAGCCGCGGCGCAGCGTGCATCGTGACGGCTGCTCTCTGCTTATTGTGTGCCTGTTGACCCACTGTTGTCTCACAGCAGAAGAGCTATTTATAGCTCCATGCTCTCCAGTAGTTTAAATTCATCCAGCTCGGCTCTGAGTTGAGAATTAGATCTGCACTCTCCAGGCTCTCCTTTGTAACGTTCAGGGAGCAGAGGGGAGCTAGGCTGTCATTAGCCCTTTTTTCTCCTTAACACTCGGAGGACAGGAAGCAGCTGCCAGTTTCACTTCCTGTCTCACACTTCACTTCAAGACAAACATGATGTTGTTGTGGGTTTTACCATGCAGGAGATAAATAGTATTTTTACACATTTTGAAAAAAGAAAAACTCTTCTTTAAATATTTTTATTTATTTAAAAAATAACTGCTTGTATTTATAGTTAGCAATACTTTAAGAAATGTATACTGAAATTCAACAGTACAGGAACTCAGGCAAATGATTTAATCCGGTAATAATCTTTTTTGCAGGACGATAACAATGTCATTTATTCTCAAAGTGTAGTTTACGCCTCAAATATGAATACATGCCTTACAGGACAGAATCATTTAAAATGCACACATTTGTTATTGATCCCATTTTTCCAATTCGCTCAAGTCTTGCTCATCTTCAGCATTTGGTTGTGTTAGTCATCTGCACATTTCAGAGTGGCCTTTTATTCGGACCAGCCCAAAGCATGACAGTGTTCTAATACACTGATCGCCATTTTGATAAGAAACACCCGTCATGTGGATTCATCCTCTTGGCATCATTTACCAACATTTTAGAAAAGCAAGCCTTAGGTTTGCATAGTCTTAAGATCTTTCATTTGACGTTAGCCTTGTGCTTATACTTCTCTTCAGTATATGTTATATCACTTTCTTACAGACTATTTATACCTATTGTATTCGTCTGTTCAGTGAATTGATGACGAAGACAATCAGGCTTTTTTATTACGTTTGCAGATTGTAGCATAAGGCTCGTCTTGTGTGTAACTGAGAACACTGAGAACATTAACTGTATGTAAATCATTATTATGTCTATTCCCCTTCAGCCATCCACGAGTTTCCAGAGGACATTTTTACCAAGGAGCAGAGGAAGAAGGGGGCCGTTTGTCTGCATGCTCTCTGTGTGAGTATTATGCAAGCTATCCCCTGAAATCAACAAAATATTTTACAAAACAAGACCTACATAACTTAGTGAGAGTTTGTCCCTGTTCTTTCTTATTCTATCCAGGCCATCTACATGTTCTACGCTCTGGCCCTCGTCTGCGATGACTACTTTGTCCCGTCTCTTGAGAAGATATCTGAGGTGAGCTAACGGCTATTGTTACAGATACTATTTTCTTAGTTTAACAGACGATTATTTGTTTCTTTTTCATTTTATTCTGAGCTTTTATTTCTTTTCTTTTCATGTTTCAGAACCTGCAGCTTAGTGAAGATGTGGCCGGAGCGACATTCATGGCTGCAGGAAGCTCTGCTCCGGAGCTGTTCACGTCTCTCATTGGTCAGTAGCTGATCCAATCACGGACCAAGTAACAGTGGCACATTTAAAGCATGCGAAAATGCAAAAGTCATTTTTAACATTTCTAATGAGAAATGCTGGAATTTGAAATAGTCTTTAGAGCCTCTGCAGTGCAAAAACCCTCCATAGGATGTCAGCATAGTCTAATTGAAGACCTCCGGAGGGATTTTCTATTTTGTCAGGTATTTTCTTTGAGATTAGTGAACTCCAGATAGAAAGCTGGATGACCCGTTTGAGACGACAGACAGCAGGGTTTTGATCTCAACTTAAAGGGGACCTATCATGCAAAATCCACTTTTGTACGTCTTTTGTCATGAATATGTGTCCCCGGTGTTCCAGGGAACTCACCAAGTGTCAGAAAACACAACCCTCTCTATTTTCCTCCGTACCCAAATCTCTAAAAAAGGGGCTGCAACGGATCTGATACAGACTGATCCAGATTTGAACACTTCT